AGATTTATTGAGCAACATACTGAAAATGAATTCTGGAACAAATGGTACAGATCAGAGATAAATATTTACGCTAAAAGAAATTTCAATTTAATGTGTGTATCAAACACGCCTGTGTGTAGTTCTCAACAGTTAATGATGTTGGAGAAATTTATGGAGTCTTGATTGACTGCAACTGAACAAATTCAGCTCAGGTATCTAGTGCAGACACAGAACTGCCTTCATTGCCTTCCTGCATGAAGTATCGTCGTAATCCAGCAACAGATTTCCTGGCATCCTGGTTAGTCGTGTGTCGTCCTCATTACTTTCCTGGTCTTCTGATGTCTTCTGGTGTTTTGCTGCAATTTGTTCAACAGCTGCGTCCTCATAATCTTCATTTTCATTGTAACGTTGAAGACTATTGTCGATGCATGCAAACTCTTCGTAGTTTCTGACGTGTTGCACTTCCAAAATGGCGTAATTTTCACTGTCGGTCTTATCGGGCATCTCCAAGTCTGAATGTTTAAAACCACAGTGAGCAAAGCAGTTCTGAATGGTCTGAGCTAATCCGCAATGACTGACTGACTCCTCCACGCCACGCGCCACAAGCGCGCCATCTAGCACTCACTGTCCCAATTAACCGATGACCCAGTTAACCGGAATCTACTTTAGAGTTTACAGTTAACTTGGCCAAGAATAGGCAAAGGCTGAGAGGTAGCTGTGTTGCATTTAACCGGAGTTCCCGTAAATCCCGATGAAGGATAAATGGAATAACAGAACATGAACTTCCCGAATCCAGAAGAGCTCAAACATCATGATCGGCAACCCGAATTCAAACCCGTGGTACAGCCGGCGAAGGAATCGCACAAACTTGTGAATGCTTGAAAAATAAAAAAGAGTGAGTCCGGACCGGGTTCTTTCTACTCTGTAGTTGTCATGTCCGGGTCACGGGCGGTTGTAAAATATTAGAACGAGAAGGGATCCCACGTGGAGGACACGTTGGACAATCCTTCGTAACATGGCTCAAACGAAGGCAGTAAGATCATTCCCTTTTAACCAGGGAGGGGGCGCGGTTCGGGTAGATATATAGGGGTACCGGATTACGTACTGAAGAAAGTGAGGCCCTGACACAAAGATTTTCGAGTTCAGTGAACTAACAAATGGGTCACATAAACCAACAAAAGAAAAGCGTGACAATGAGTAGCTAATATCAAACCTTATGACCTAACACACAAAATAAATAAACGTTGAATACATACAGAATTAACACAAACCAATTAAAGGATTGGTGAGCGGTCACATAGGTCATGAGCCCTGAAAGTCAAATGGCTTAGGCGCGTCATAATCCTGGCGTGATGTCAGCCCGAACACTAGGTTCGCAACTCACCCAGAGGTTCGATGGAGTACAAGGCCAAGATGCGGCTAATTCACGTAAATATTTCTGAAGGTCGGGGACCTTCAACTCCCGTCCGTATGGTGGTTTCGTATACCAGCTCATCCTTTCTCAGATAATCCGTGTTCGGAAGGGCTCGATCCGTCAGAACAATGGAAAACAGCGTAGACGGTTTAACAACAGTTCGAAATAATCAGAGCAAAAAGAAGAAATGCGAGTAGAGTAACAGAATATCTTGAGTCAGATAGAAAAGCAAAACCACTTGATACGTACACAGGCCCAGACGCCTTACAAGACTATCACTTACTGACCAAAGTACAAACCAAACACAAGTAAATATGTACATACAAAAATACAAACTAAAAAATTATGGATCAGCAAAGCAGTCCCGGGAACTTGTGTCGGGTCTCTGCCCCACTTTCTAAGCCAGAAAGAGACCTACCGAATTTAGTCCGAAAAGAGTAGAACAGACGTTCAGCGTTCGACCACCGGGCAGAGACTGACAGAACAAAACAGAAGAAGACCAAGGCGCACTCTGATGGGAAGAAGGTAAGGTTAGAACAGAGTGATACAAAGGGAAAGTAAGAAAGTACAGGGTGGGACAAAGGAAACGTTACAACTGAGCGTTGTCAAAGAAAGTACAGGGTGGGACAAAGGAAACGTCACACACGGTAGAATGATACTGGTTCACGTAACGCAATGCCAAAGATAATAGAAGCGATATGAAGTGGTACATATTGCAAGAGATGAGAAATTTTGGCAAGGATACTTAAGAGCTGGATGAGAATTACGAGAATGGGAAATGATGAGAGGAGGACATTTGTTACAATTTAGAAGTACGACATAACAAGACCTAAGTGAATTACGCTGCGCTTTCAAATGTCTACGTTGGAAATGAGTATCCTGAAAACTGTAAGGCAGCGATGTTATAATCGTCAGGTCGCAGGGTCGAACACGGGCATTAAGATGATGTCGGTATTCTCTGCTTAAAAGTGAAATCATCAGAAGCTCGCGCATGTGCAGTGAGTCAGTCTGGGGCTTCAGTCGCTGGACGTAACTCGTCGTCGGCCACACATCAGCGTTCCTTCCCAGGGAAGTTGGACAAAAAATGTATGCACCAGCAGATCTCATGACGTGAGACGAAAGCCACAGATGACCTTGGCATATCGAGGCCGCAAAATACGAGAAGTTTGTTCAGACTGATATTTCAATTAGCCCACCAGACCGTAAGAAAGAGGGAAAAGTAACGAGCGCGCATGCGAAATTTGTGTTTCTAGACGAGCTAATTAACTTGGTTTCGCAGAAGACACCCGCCGCTCAGCGTTTGTCGGAGATTTTACTGCTTCATTTCACGAAATATGAGTTAAATGTAAGTCTAACGTATAATTAATTGACCTCATTTAAAAATGAACCATTTAACGGATTTCGAGAGCGATTTGCATTATATTGATGCAAACATAATTCATAATGAAGTCAAAAATTATATTCGTCATATTTGTCGCATGACGTGATAGATAAATGTGTTATCGAATACTGTGTGTGACTACAACGAACAATGGCTGCAACAAATCTACTTCATCGCTCGCGGCTACCGCAGCATTTCCCCCACTCTGCCCCTCTTCTGTACCCTCCTCCCCGAATTCAACAAACCCAAGACGAGACGACGGTCACCGATGTGCCTCAAGGCTTTGCCAGGAACGCACTTGGTGAAAGAGCCTGTTCTTCGCACTTTATCGCATAACACTGACTACGGAGGCAAGAAAAAGCCGCACATCGCGACACGACAGATGTCGACATGGAGAAGGGACACGACCGGTTATAAAATGACACTTATTATGTGCGGTTAACTTACTCGTCGGCGGCTCTAACTTAATATCACGCACAGCAGCATGACAAAGGTACATTATATTTTCACACAGTATGACATAGTAGGCCGAGAACACAGAAACATAAGAACACAATAATAAATACAGAAATGTAACAACAAGGAGATTATAAAAAAAATACGTAAGTGTAGAGGACATTTGCCACGGTGGTGTAGCGGTTAGAACGCTGGCCTTGTAATCCTGGGGTGTCGGGTTCGAATTTATAACTTGTGTTGGGCAAGGCCGTGGTCTAGGCATCACGGAGTTTTCCTCCGGGGGCTTCCCCGGTTTTTCCGTGGCATCCCAACGATTACTCCATTCACACACAGAAGAAGGCAATGGCAAACCACTTCTGGATCATCTGCCAAGAACGTATATGAACAGGTCCCAGTCCTAGAAAAGGATGGAAGGATCCTGTTCATATGGACCTGTCGTCAGACAGAACACTAATAAATAAAAAAAAAACACATAGTACTGCAGACTATGAAACCAAAGTCTTTTGTTTGGCTTCGTGGAGATTAATGTGTCCGAAAAGTACAAGTGAGAAAGGTAGGTACGCGATGTGTGTGATCAAATTTATAAAATTAACCCAGAATGGAGGTGTACGATAGTGTATGTCTCATACCAGAGAACTCGCCAAAGTCGATAATATTCAGAATCCTACTTTGCACGAAGTTGATACAAAATTGAACAATTTCATAAAACATTCTTCACTTCACAAAACCATGGGCACGAGAAAATCACAGAACTCAGCCAGACGTACGGAACGACACGGTGTGTGTACAGCGATTTGTCGCGAGGTGCGCGCAGAACATGAGCACGTGAGCTCTCCACTCCTCTTGAATGTACTTCCTTATTTTGCGACAGCGGGACGCGAGCTAAGCAGCCGTCAATATGAAATATTAGCTACTTATTTGTCACTCGGGCCTCCGTGGATACAGCGTCAGAGTGCTTACTTTCCCCACAAACACTCAGAAGCGACAGAAAGCCGTTCCAACGAATATACAACATGTGAACTATGACCCCGGGGTTATGGACTTGCCTGATCCTTGGACCGCAGTGAAATAGAAAACGAGAGAGGGGAAGGACATGAAGTTCTTAAACCAAAATAAAATATTATTTCGTGTGTCAAGTAATGACGGAAATTTGCGTTGAAGTAAAGACTACTATCTTTCATTAAGTGTCTTACGTAAGCTAACTGAATCAAGACCAAACTTCGCCGGTATTGAGAAGTCTCACTCTCTCCAGGCGAATGCTGGAATTGTACCACGATAACATTAGCCACAACTGGCTGCTCGTTTTACAGGAAACAACTGTGTTCATTCAAATATCACAAAAGTTTCTGACAAATGGAATATCTATCGTGAAAAGACTTGGAGCCTTTTCTTTACGAATTTGATACAAAAAGTATTCTTTTTTAAAGTGTCATCAAGTACAATTTCATAAAATGATTTAGCAGACAAAACTCTTGTGTAAATATCAGTTACATAGACGGAAACAGATGTAAGAACAATATGAGTTTGAAATATTTGTGGAAAGAACGAGTTCTGGTCGACCAGTATTATCCTTAAAGTTATCGATATATCACTGTTATAAAAAAATAAAAGACGACAAATGTTTAGAAGGTAAAAGACGGAAAGACCGACATGAAGTGTAACTGGAAATGGCGCAATTCCTATCGAATGTTGCGAGCTAGATCTTGATGACGAGATAGGTCGATAGACAGCACAGCCGTACAGATATTTCTGACCAATCGCCGGTCACGTGTCTGTAGTTTTCAGCTTGTATCAGTTTCTTCCATGCAGCGAACAGCTGAGAAATTGGCCAGTCATACACAACGCCGTGTAGCCGTCCCTGGGTGCAGTTTAGCCTCTCAAAAATTTCGTAGTTGCAACGAAAAGGTTAGGTTGGAACCCGCTTCCTTCCCCTGCGCCGACTAAATTTCAATCGCGATTAGGATCTAAGTCGGTTCCAGCTTTGATACTCTGGGGTTTCAGGGCAGAACCAAAGGCTCAAGTGCGAGGAAAGATCTGCCCACTGACCTCAAGGACTCAAAAGCTCTCATCATTTAGTTCAATTTGTTTCAGTCACGTGGGGACTGGGAACTGCCGAGTGCCGTGCTTCAAAGCGGGAATGGTCAACAACTTTATTCGTGTGGAAACAAACTTGGGAGCAAACGTTTTCAGGACTGACTATCGCTGATCGAGCCTGTTCGATTTATTCGTTTTATATTATTTATTTAATTTCTTCTGTTATTGCATTTCTCAGAGGAAAATGCGATGGGACGATTAAATAAACTGCAGAATGTCCGGCCAGTGACTTCAGGTTAGTATTGCCAGCCTATGAACAGCTTAGGTCTGCAAGGTGTTATCGTTACATCTGATGTGTTTTAAGGTCGGCGACTGACTCTGGAATTCATATCGATAAAGCGTCAGCTAGCTCCGCCCACATTCCTCAGCTTCTCAACTGTTTCCTTCCCTCACGCCACCACTACGTCGCTACAGACTACTCGTTCGCTTTCACTTTCTCTCGTCACTTTATTCAGATCCTCGGGGATCCATCCCTCCTCAACTTCATACTCGTTGGAGACTATCTGATTACCACTGTCAAACACATTATCCTTCGAATAATCTACTTCCTGTGTGGTGGTGAACTCCGCTTCAGAATTTCCTGTAACTCGTGAGCACTGGTCGGACAGAACTGAAGTGAACCATGCCGTTTTCCTTCACAGACTGAAGACTGTAGGTTGGCGATTTCGGCAAAAAGGACGTTAGACCTCTTGCCGCTTGTACACAATCCGACGAAAATTATTAACTCGTGTTTTTTCCCTCAGCTTCGTCCGTTGCTGCGTGGTCTTGCGGTAGTCGATGGCACACGTTCCAGGTGTTGGAATATCATCTGCATGTTGTCAAGAAATAATCCAGTCACTTCTTTCACCGTCAGTTTTTCTCGTCCGCTGGGTGGCGACGTCTCTGTCTCCGAGGTGCTGCTGAGCTACTTCTTGTAGCCAGTGGACAGATGCGTCGTCCGTGCTGTCGCAGTCGACGAACTCATGGGCTCCTCTTCGTCTGCAAGGCCGCGGCAGACCAGGTGCTGCCAGCTGTCGTCGTGACTCGCCGTGCTGGGCCCGTAGCTCGCAGCCAGCTGCTGGTCTCCTCAGAACCCAGATTATGCCCTCATTTGTCGCTCAGGCTGGGACACGGTACACGACGTAATCAGCTTGTCACTAGTGAGGCGAGCAGATAAACTACCTTCGCACGGAATATGGAACTTTCAAACTTCGGTGGTTTAATTCTGCCACCTCAGCTTTTCATTTGCCCCAACACGCTGTTCGACTCCTGGGGGACTTCATGAGTCCCTTGTTCCACCACTGTTACACCGCTCAGCTTCTTGTTTAGATCGTCCTAATGATTTAATCAAACTCAAACTGAATGGCTGTTATGGTACTTACGCTGTTTTGGAGTTTGTCCTGGCCGGCAAACAACGAAAATCAGTGCGGTTAGAGGTCTTTAAAAACACATCTGTACACTTTTGTAACGATAATTGCTTGCAGATTATCCTCTTTATTCTAAGGAGTTTGTGATGAGAAAAAAAATCATAAAATGTAAATTACAGATAAATATGAGATAATTAAATGTGTGAAGCTGCAGAACCCTACAAACCATCAGAAAAGCCTTGTCCTGTAGTGTCATATGAAACCATTCACTTTTACGTGTTATTTTATACTTCCAGTTAGAACAAGATGTCCCAAAAATATGTATACACATTATGATACAGAATATGAACCTTGTTAGGGTGGCCACACACGCTACGGCTTACCGGAAGGCTTACGTCTCTGAAGGCAAACCGGAGCGTGTGTGGTGAATTTGGCCGGAAACTGAGCCTCCGATAAATCTGCAGTCGCTTGATTTCTTGCCTCGAGACTTACTGAATGTTTACAAGTCGCAACGTGTGTGGACAGAGACGAGGGTAAAGGCAAGGCTTGTAGCATTTAGTCATCTCAACCAGCTACCGAAAACTTCAAATCCTCGTAGTTTAACAGTTCCAAATGTGTGTCCTCATTCATTCGCAGGTAATTATGCCAGTCCGTCGGCTCTAATCGAATTTCATTCAACAAATTTACGTGAGAATGTTTTGATCCATCTAACCAACTTCTGACACACTTAGAACGTTTCAACTTTATTTTATTTTTCAACATTAAAGTAACAGCAAGACCGATTAAAAATGGCATCGTCTTCACTGAACATTCTGTAGCATCGACTGAAGAATAAGAAGAATGAGCACAAACCTGACACAAAGTCTGTACGTGTGTGAACTCTCAGAGGTTTGAGGCTTACCTTCCGACTTTAACTTGGAAGGCAGGCCTTCCAGTAAGTCGGAGCGTGTGTGACCACCCTTATGGATCTCCGTGTGTTGTGTTTAGGAGAGGGACCTAGTGTGGTCTGCACTTAACAGATGGCACAGCAACATCTTTTCCCATCATTCAGATACGCAAAATGGTGGAGGGTAAATTGAGTACCTCCCACCTCAAGATCGCCAGATTTAACCCAACCTGACTTTTTCTTGTGGAGTACTTGAAGGACGTGGTAGTATACAGCACAAAACGAGGAGCACTTTTTCGAGTTCCGACAAAGAATTTAACGGTCCTGCTCATCAGTTCGAACAGGAAGTTTGGTGGCCGCTTGTAAGTCAGTTGTTCATCGCTGTTAACTGTGCCATGAACCTGACGATGGCCATTTCAAACTACTTACACAAGATTCACTAATTCAGTAAGTGCCAGTGCTGTCGTATGCAAAGGTTTGTTTTATTAAAATGTATTTATTTCATTCATTGAATGCGTGTACACATACTTTTTGCGAGGCAACTGCTTTGTTACTTAAGCAAGTATTCACACATTTAACAGGCCACAGCGCCATTAAGTCAGTTATAGAAGCGAAATAAAAGGTATGAGTAACATCTGCTTAATCTCTACGTTTCAAAAGACGGCAGAATTTATTTGGTTTTTTGAAGACATATAAAGCAACCTAGCAATAAACATATGTCGGTTGTAACAGAATATGCTGTTTCCTTTTCATGAAAAAGACAAGTGACAGAGACCGATCCAGGTTTTGCACATCCAGTGACGTCACTGGCACTAGTTGGCGACAGCATTCACCTTTCAGTCCGCATTTATTCCCACGGTCGCCTTATTTTGTGCAGTACTTTGACATGGCCTTCATTGTTTTTAGGTTATCTGGTGACACTGTTTAAGCTGCAGATTAGATAGCGTTGAATCACATAACATGGTTACGAACAGTGAATGAGTCACGATTTGGAAAGAATCCGGTTTTTCCCTTTTTTGTGGTGTTTGAAGAAACTGAGGAACGCTACGAAAATCCTCAGCAACAGTAAGTTGCTATACTGAGGGGATAACAAGGAGTGAAGACATTTTGGTACGAAGTGAAGGTGGGTCCAGAAGAGATGAGTTACTGCTTCGCCGGGGCATGTGAACTGTTAACCTCCTGGCATGATGGAGGCTGAGAGAAAGGCAACCATGATACAATAAACTGCATGTTTCCCAATTACTTGAATGTGACGAAATCTGGTGGACGTGAGACGTGAACCTTCTCCAGTGAGCGGACAACTTGTTCTGTATTTAGTTTCTACGGAAGGAGAAGCAAATATTTAATGTCAGACCATTCAGTGTTCAGTCGATTTGGGTACGATTCGATTCGTATTGACACAGCCGACACTTGCGTGCTCATTCTTTTGCTGGTTGCCTCCCGCCACACTTAACCTTTGGTTCACATAAACTCAAATAGAACTGCAGGCCTGTTCGTTTACGATTGTGCCAAATAAGCTACAGTTTAGAGAGAAAGATACACCAGGATATTCAACGATGTTTGACGTTTTGTTGAATGCAGCCGCGAGTTGAGCGCAAAATTCACAATGAAACGGAAGGACGGACACCAATAACGAGACAATTCGTGACAAAATAAATTTACCGTTTAGTCACTTATTTCCCGTGACTTCATATCCATTGTCCCCATTTAATTTCTATTTTACGAATTGACTCACTGGGGTTCAACTGTGAGAACTATTCAGAATTTTACACTGGTTAACTCGCTGCGATTTGAATTTTTTTCTGTAAAAATGCTGACTGCATGGCAGACAGCAATTCCGTTACAATTCTGACCTGCAAATTAACCGACAGGAATTTCATACACGTGTCTGGCAGATACCTAATGCTGTAGTGCGTTCAAAAAGTCAATGTGCGTTAGCTATTATGCAGTCCACTTGGCCAATCACACGAGAGGACCTTGTTAATGCGTGTGAATTTATGAGTCCCGACACTACATTAAGAGAGAACACTGATCGAAGCATCGGAGATATTAATGCATTTGTAGTACTGGAGTTTAGCACTTTCTCAACTGCGCTGGAAAGAAACATGATTAGAAATGCGTTCGTTTTGGCGTGCACCACATTAAGACGTTCTTTAAACATTGCATGGGACGAGGATCCTAGGGGCAGAGACTACAAATATGTTTTCCTTTATTGAGCACAGGACACAGTCTTTTGTTTCTATTCTGTGAATGTTTATAACATCTGGATGCTGATGTGTACACTTGGTGCTTGTCGTGGAATGTAAACTAGTTTAAATATTTGTAAGACTGATTCTTTCCAAAAAGCGAACACGAATTAGTTCAATAATATTGTGTTTTGGTAATTTCTGTGATTCCACGTTAGTTCATTTGAATGGGGTTTATGGCACACTATTGCAATTGCATAGAATTGTTCCTGGTTACTGCGTTTGAAAACACTGGAAGAATGACACTTTTTAATT